TTATATTCTGGGGGGCACCAGTCTGGTTACTTATCACCAGCAAGCATAAGAGTATTACATGAAGATCCAGAATAAATGAAACCAAGAGAGGATTAAAGCCACTCTCTCGAGCAGCGGTAGACTAACTAAGTACCCAGTCGTACTCAGCAGCTAAAGTCTGCCCTGGTTCAAAGTCCTATCTTCAGTAAGCCCTACATTAAAACATAATGTAGAAATCAGAAGATATTGCTAAATTGAAAAAAGTTTAGAACAAAATGGAAAATTGATTGAAAAAGAGACCGAGGCCCCCGGGGGGAAAGGGCTCCGAAATTCCGAAGAATATAAATAGTTGTAATAATTGTAATTCAACAATCCCTATGGACTGGACCAAAACAGCACTTAGGAAGATGATATTCCAATTTCAAGTAAACCAACCACTGTTTTCTAGTCTAATTATTAGCCCCTTTCTGAAAAAGGAAAGGGGTCAACCCCCTCCATATGGAAGCAAGATACTTCCATAAGGAGGGGGGGTCCTAAAGAATAAATATACAGAATTACAACAGGTGTTGCTGTGTCACATCTGAGTCAAATTGGGAGAGACCTTCCTTGGATGAAGAGGAATCATCGGAACCGGAGCCAGATGTTTCCCCACTTTTTTGGGCCACAACCAATGCAGGCCCAAAAGAAAAACTATTATCGTCCGTACTAAAGTTAACAAAATTGGGGTAAGGCTGCCAGGCTTGAAAAAGAAAGGAATCATGGGAAATACGCTGGAGCTTATGTCTGTGCAGAAAGTCCGCCTGTATCCCCTGCCGGATATTCATAACAACCAGACGTTGCAGGTATGCAAGGGAGAAGACCCGATTCTGCCGAATGCACGAGTTCCGAATGTGCCAAAAGGCTGCCAAAATAGCTGCCCTAACCAACTCTGAGATATAAAGTAAGCCATCCTTCGTTCTTTTACTGTTGCCACCAAGCAGGATGTCTGCATAAAGATCCTGAGATAATATTAGGGGGGAAGGTCCTCTACAAAGTGTAGGCCACGCCCACCAAAAAGCCCTTTGCAGGGGACAGTCCACCCATAAGTGAGCCAAACTCTCAATGTTGAGGCCGCACACTAAACATATAGGATTTGTATGACAACTCTTAGTGGATAACCATTCAGCAGTTGGTATAGCCAAGTGAATAGTCAACCACAATAGTTCAGCCTTCTTACCATCCGGAAGTCTCCTGTTAACATCACAAAATCTGGAAAAAGAATCAAGGGTCCATTCTTGCAGACTTTCTTGTGAAAAAAGGGCACGTTTTCCCATCTTCGCTTAAGGTGAAGAAAAATGTCAAAAACTGGAGCATGGAACCTATATAGGGACTTGGTTGAAAGTTCATCAAAACGTAACCTCTTTCTCTGTTGTCCGGCCGGGGATAAGTACCATTGAGAGGGATCAAAGGAGATATCCTGAAGAGGAATAGAAATCTTGAAGGGTAGAAACTTTCTTGGTCGTCTGCGTCCTCTTTGCGCCAGAACACAAACGAGGGTCAAGGAATCACACATCATTACAAGCTTCATTTCTTCATTCCTTAATCTCAGTGGAGTTCCCAGATCCATGTATCCAGATGAGACGTCCCACGTGGAAACCCGTACCTGTTCACCGCAGATTTCCTCAATCCGAAAAATCGTGACAGATAAGGGTTCAAGGGTCAATCTGGCCCATTGTCCAACCTGGAAGTGTGGCCCCAAAAGTAAAGCAACCCACTCTTCAGGAATGGCGGCTAATATTTCAGCCAAGCGATTATTCCAATGAGGCGCATGAGACAACTGATGTCGTAAGTCATGAGGATGGTTCCAAGTTCTTGTCTCCGTATTCCACAGATGTTTTATCAGATATACACCCTTGCAAAGCCACTGTCGACCAAAAGAGCCTCGAGATCCACTCCAGGGAAATGGTAAACCATCCTGACGCAAGATACAAGGGTTGCCAAAAATAGCTTGGTTAAGAACTTGAACTGCCGATTTTGGGACAGCCCTTTGAAATTGCAGTCTTCGCCAACATGAAACAGCCTTAGTCCAACAGGACTGCTGCCTTACCTCAGTGAGCAGGGCTGAGTGTAGGAGTGCCATCCAAATCACAGATTCAGGTAATCTGAGAATTTGTGATAGGATTGTTCTGGCCATCTGTTTCCATACTGCTGAGTCATCCTCAAGAAGCAACCAAACAATATTGCGGCATTGTTAAGCTGTAACTTGAATAGTCGGGTCAAGAAGAGAGAGACCGCCACATCTTCGGGGTTGAATTAGCTTTATCCAGGCTATTCGAGGAATCGAGGTTTCAGCATCTGCATCTGAAACCCAAAGGTACCTAGTGACAACTGTCCTTATGTTTCGAAGAGTATGTCTAGGTGGAAAGATGATTGCTGTCACATACCAGATTGTGGACAAAATTGAATTATTTATAATAAGTGCTCTCCCAAAAATCCCGACCAAAGCTCCCTTCTTCCACTGCCTAAGTCTATTCATGACAGTGGTGAAAATGGCTTGCATCTGTGGATTTACCCCTCCTTCCATGGACATCTGAATCCCTAGAAATTTGAAGAACATCCCCCTAGGTAGACATTCAATGTCGCAATCCACAAGATTGTTAGGATCTGCTGAGGTGACTGCAACAGTCTTGTCCCAGTTCATATTTGCTCCAGAAAAATGAGAAAAAATTGTAAGGCATGTACGCAGTTCCGTCAGTTGTCCGTCCAAAAGTTGTACGATTGCAGCAGAATCATCTGCAAAGGCTGAAGATCTTAGTTCATCATTAATCAAGGGAAAACCCCTAAGTATAGGGGAAGCTCTAAGAATGTCATGGAGATGTTCAGCATACAGCACATAAAGTGCTGGAGAAAGAGGACAGCCTTGGCGAACCGATCTACAGATGGCAAATCTCTCAGAACGTAATCCGTTGATCTGTAAGAAAACATCTCCTGTTGAAAGCAGTAGAAAGGTCCATAGCCTGAAGACATAGCCTGAAGACTGATCCAAAACCCCTCTGCCGCATTCCCTTAATCAAAAAAACCCAACGAACTCGATCATAGGCCTTTTCAAAATCCAAAAGAATAAGAGCTAACCCAGTCGGAACAGAGCCTGCCAGTTCCATACATTGTTGCACAATCATTATATTATTGGTATCTGCCTTCCCGGGATAAAGCCCGTCTGCGTTGAATGCACTAGCCCTTTAAGTACCTTCCCCATTCGTGATGCCAAGACTTTAGTACAGATCTTATAGAGATTCGTAAGTTTAGAAATGGGCCTCCAATTCCGGACATCTGAAACTTCCCCTTTTTTATGAAGGAGGATTAAAACAGCCGTTGCAAAACCTGCAGGCAAGGTTTCTAGCATTATGGCCTGGTTATAGGCAGCAGTGAGGAAAGGGGCCATGATACCTACCAGGTGTTTAAAGATTTCTATAGGCAGCCCGTCAAAGCCCGCGGCCTTCCCAGAAGGCAGATCGAAAATAGCAGTCCTAACTTCGTGCTCGGAGAATGGAGCATCCAACATGTCATGTTGTTGAGGTGTAAGGATTGTCTTAACATGTTGCCAGATCTGTTCTTCCGGGAGGAATTCCATCTGGTCCGAAGTGAAGGTCCCTTCTTCCGAAAAAAGCCACTTATAATATTGAGAGGCAAAATCCAGAATGGTCGCTGAGGAGGTAGCCGGATCCGTTAAGGGTTCAAAAGGATGACTCAGGCATGTCATAAGAGGAACTTTTTTCCCCTGTGATAACTGCCTGAAAAATTTAGCTGTCATTTTCTCTCCCACAATAACCCATGTAGCTTTCGTTGATGATCTCCATTTAGCAGAATCCTCCTCATGCCATTGTCGCCATGCCAAGGCTGCTTGGTACCGTTCAGTCCACCAGTCATCCTCCTCCTCCCCATCCATTGGCTCATCACCCAGGTCTTTCAAAGTCTGAGCCAACTGCTCTCCCAATTGTCGATGTAACCAGCGATCAGCTGATACCTGTTTTCAGGTATTCTGAACAAAACGTGATGTTCCCTCCATAAACCACTCAAGATAATTAACATTAAAGGGGCAAGCATCAATCCAAGATTGCCAGAAATCTGTAATCAAGAAAACGAAGTCCCTACGTGTGATGACCCAAGAGGGGAGGGGAGGAGGAGGAAAGACTTGTTGTACTCCTTGAGGATTCGAGATTTCTACAAAGACCAAGGAATGATCAGACATTGCAGATGGGGGAATTTGAATTCACATGCACAATTCCACTAGGGATTCATCGATCCAGATCTGATCAATCCGACTCCGAAGATGGTTAGAATTACTAGCTCTTGAAAACCAGGAAGATCGGCGCTGATCAGGAAACCTAAACCTATAGATATCAACTAAACTTAATTCTGTCATGGAGGCTAATAAGGCCTGCGCATCAGACTGCTGTGGGCCGACAGTAATACTGTCAAGGCCCGGCTCAATTACTGTATTAAGGTCTCCTGCTAGGATACAGTTCTGTGTTACATGTAGGCAATGATCGCCAAAACCACTTCCATTCAGTACGATCCAGAGGAGCATACACAGTTGAAATGAGCCATTTTTCGGAACCAAGTGTGACAATAACCCATGCCCAATGCCCACGAGAATCCCAGAAAGAGTCATGTAGAGTCCCCTGGAAATTCGGGGCAAAGAGAATGGCCACACCCCCCCGTGTTCCTTGTGCAGGAGCCCAAACCTGCAAGCCCTTCCACCATGTCCATTGAGATACAAGCCTACACTCATCTAACTTGGTTTCCTGTAAACACAGAACTTGCAGTTTATGTTTCTTAAAAATTTGAAACACCTCCCTTCGTTTGGCCAAAGTAGTCCTAGAAGAAAGACCGTTGACATTCCAAGTTGCCAGTCTAAAAGTACTCATCAAATTTCAACGAATTTGGACAGTCTGAAGCTATTGAAGCGCCTAGACAAGAAACCGCAGTTTGTGGGAAGATGATTATTTACATCAGCCAAAACAGTCGCAGTTACTCCTTCCCGAAGAGAAGAAAGTTGTGGTTGAGAACGTGGTCCAAGAATAAAAGGTAGATGAACCCACTGACCGTGCAGGAGGAGAGGGACAACCGACTGAGGTGAACCAGGTTCCGCCCTGAAGAAAGAGAAGACAAAAGGAATCTCAACCCCCGAAGAAACAGGGCGTAGCAATCTAACATTCGACATAGCTTTCAGTGATGCAATGCAGAAGGTGGGGCCCATCCACTCCTTCACCACAGGACCAATATCCATCATGTAAGGAATTCTGTGTAGATCAAAAGCGGGGAAGGAGCCCAATTGATGCGAAGGACCCTCATCAGGATTGATAAGAAGCAGAAAAGGCAGATCAGTTTCACAGTGCAAAGTGTTCGCACTTAGACGTGCATGGCTTAGTCTTTGAGACAAGCATATGACTACTGGCAGGATCAACCAGGTAGCGGGTGTGACGAGCAGCCGCAAGGAGCGATGGCCGAGCTGCACATAGGCACGTCACGCCGGACAGCCTACCAAAAGAACGCCGAACAATCGTGGAACGTGCAATGAGCTGCCGAGACGCCGCGAAGTCCGGCTGTTTGAATTGCAGGTGAACTTCCCT